AAAAAGTCTCCAACTAATCAACAAAAATGAAGCAAATGTGCATATTTTTAAGCATACAAGTAAACATCTGGAATGGCACAGTACAAGAGCACTCGTTCATGAGGTCTTTATAGATTGTGCTTACCTGCTCATTTGCAAATTGGTTAACCCATGATTGCCCTCCACTGTATTGCTGCTCGTATTCTGTTGCCCAGTCTCCAGGAGCAGACAATGTTGCTGGCTTGAATTGATTATCCTCGATGGTGAGTTCACCACGACTCATTTTCGATACAAACTGGAGGAACTTTGAATTCTAGTCGTCCAAAAAAATAGGAAAAAAATTATTTAAAAAAATCTTGGAAGGACAAAGTCAAACAACAAAAAGGCCTTCATTTATGCACATGGACTTTGTATTACAATCTTGTTGCATATTCAAATATAAAGGCTAAAGAAAACATAAATTGAAATGAAATCATTAATCTGGTCAGCATGATTTATACTCACATGTGTTTTTCTCTTCAAGCTATATGAATAATGTAATTATCAGCAATCTAGTGCCGCTAAATAGTTTTCTTCATCAGTTATCACCAATTAAGGCACAATATATTAGAAGTAAACATCTACACGCCGATCATACAACAAAATGAATAAATTACTGAATGTAGTAGTACAATCTGCAATCATTGTTAATATGGGAGCACACCTGAAACTTTGGATCATTATTTTGAGCGAGTGTGTGTGCTAATGCACGAGTCTGCTCCATGGCAGCTAAGTTAGCAATATTTGAACCTCTCATTTGGTCAATTGAAGCAAGCTGGGACTGTTCCTGAAATTTTAGATGATAATAGCAATTAAGGAACCTAACCAACTGCAATTGTCAGGTCATACATAGACAATTTCAAATATGACTAAAGCAAATGTAACAAAAACAGAGTGTTCCAGTACGTCTTCAAAAGAACTAAATATTTGCAGCAGAATCAGTCAAAGTCAGGCGGGAGTTGGTTAGTAAATCTATGCAACTTATCTCTCACATTCTTAGTTTGTCTGCCACATGCAGGGTTATTCAGCTTGTTCTCTGAAAACCTAAAAGATCAGTGAAAGACTACTTAACAAGCAAGCCCTACATCCATCCCTCATTCCTGCACATCCTTAATTTATTTATGCAATCCTCAAGAAAACAAGTTCAAGACTACTAAACAATTGATACTCCAAAAAACAAGAAAATTTCTGAGAAACGCCAAGAGATGTGCATCATAAATTTTTCTGCCTCCATCTCTTTTCTTGAGAGCATAACAACATAGACTTGTGATCCAGTGCACATAGAAATCCACTTTTTTCGGTGATAAAGTCTACCATGGATGTTCTCACCGAGATGAACTGAGAATACTTATGCAGAGAACTTCCTTAAAATCATATTGTTTGAATATGCAATTTGTCCAAATCAGTATATCGAAACATAATTAAGGGTAACTACTAAATAATAGCTCCCCAATTCCCAAAAAAAATTAAGCGCACACTGAGTAAACAGTACTATAACTGAATTGCAACTAAATTTGAACCAAATACAAATATTCATTTGTATGTAGTGCCACTCAGCGAAACAAAACAACATTGCTGCCATTGAAATGACAATACAAGAGAGATTTTCTTACATGCTCAAACTCAGACGCCCAACCATTCGAACCATGTTGTCGTTCAAATGACTGAACCCACATATTTGGATCATCATGAGGTACTTGATGTTGCATGAATTCAGAAACCCACCCATCTGCACCAGGCATCCCAGGTTTCACACCTTGGGACTCATTCCAATACTCCTCTAGCTCCGGATACCGACCAGGAATCGGACCTCTAGCCCGGATATCATTGTCAATATCTAAAGACGACAAGAGGGCATTAACCTGACAAGGTACAAATTTCAGGTCACCAGAAGAATGAAAAAGGTACGAGTTTTTTCAAAATCATATAAAAGAACAAGTCCAGGAACTACTAAATTCCAGCTTTCCATGTTCATATATTGAAGCTCTACCAGACACATGAACAGAAGAGCATCTCCAATAACAAAGATACATATTAAAAAGTTCAAATCTTATAATGAGTTGAGGAAAAATAAACCTCCAGAACTTCAAACTACAATAACCTATGTTGTTACAAAAATTACAGCCTAAGACCATGTTAGCCACTGGATAACGCTCATACATATACAAAAAGAGAAATGATCGTGGCAAAGAAGAAAATAATCGTGGCAAAGAAGAAAATCATCCAAAAACTCGCATATTGCGTATTTAAAAATATGAACCAAACCTGTGCGTGAATGAAGTCTTCACTTTTGTCTGCAAAAAGATGACGAGCCATAATACTGCTGCGGTCTCGTATGCATTGCTTATCACCTTCAGACAATCCTAAAACTGGAAGGGAAGTTGGACGAAAAGGTATGCTACCATGATTGCTATGAAGAAATGAGTGCAAGAAGTTTGACAATACTCTTTGTGGTGGCCCTGCAATGCAAATTACAACAGGTTCTGATAAAGGCTGAAGCTTCCAGAATTTTCTATGATGTTATCTCCAGGAAAATATTAACTAAAATGCAGTAGAAGCTTGATTGAAAAGTAAAGTTCACATTGGAAAAAGAAAACTAGCAATCCTAGGACTACCAAGTTAAATAGATCATCTCTACCATTACAATATGGAAGAGAGTCTTCTCCCATAAAAGTAAGTGAAACACTACATCAATTTGATAATGTAGTGTACAACAATAGCCCTAGGGATGGTTTATTTCTGGCCTGAGCTCTTCTTTCAATAAAGCTCATATTTTAGCAGTTCGGTCATGCACCACTCCCCTATTGAGTCACTCAAAAGACAGTATCCCAATTGAATTTATCTGACACAAAAACCCTCATTTCAAACTCCTTAATCTGCAGAACCAGCCTTTATCAGCGTTTCAACTTCTAATATAATACACCATTCAACACATTATCTCAAAGCACCTGTGCCTGACACCTAGCTTGCCCAGTCTTATACCATCAATCCTGGCACCAGCGCGATTCTCCTTAAGCCTCTCCTACATCTTGACCTATCAACTTAACGACAATAACCAACACATACCACACCAAGGTGCTGGAGCTCCCCACTACTCTGAGCCCATGCCTCCATCAATCATCGGTTCTCAAACAGAAATTAGATTACATGCACAAAATTGTGTTTTCCTTTTTTTTTT